CTTCAGAGAATATTTAGATTCAAGTCAGTTTTGATGATTGAAATTTGAAGAAATTGTTTTGTTCTAAATTTAATCGTTTTAGCTGATCAAAAAGTAAATATAAACTGTCGGGAATATTTCGAGCTGTATCATTTTTGATGAATTATTCCGGATTGTGTTATAATTTTATAAAATATCAAAATTCACTAAAAAAAAGAATTCTTTTTAAAAATATTTTAAACCGAAAATGATAAAAATAATATTTCATGTTTCTAACAGTATATTCCTTTTGCCAACATTATTTGATTAAACAATAATTTTCTGTTAAGTTGAAAAATAGTTTTTCCCTTAATTTTTTTAGATGTATCACTTTTGAAATAAGAGAACAATATTGCATATATTATATGTATATTATAAATCATAGAATTTCAAATAATGTTGTAAAGGACATATCAGAATCAAATAAAACGTAAAAAAAAAAAAATATATATATATATGTCACAGAATTAAATAAAATTAGTACGTGACGAGAAGTCATTGTGATAACTTGTCTCATAAGAGTTTTTTATAACAAAGAAAAGAAAGGAAAAAATTTTTTAACAATTCTTTTTCAACTCATTTGACTGGGAATAATACTATTTTATTCTTTTTGCTTGTATTGTCTTATAATTTAACTGAGAATTGTGTATAATTGACAAAAAGTTATCTGCGATATTTTATATATTTTTTTATATTTATTGACAAGGATCGACTAATACAATGAGATACTCGAGTGTTCGGTGAGTGTGGAAAAGAAATTATTTCTTTTAGCATTCTTTCTCATAAATAAGAAATTAATAAATATTCTATTATGTATGTAATATCTAGAAATTTCAAACATATGGTCAGTAAATCGTTTGAGAGAAAAATTTTGTATCTTGGAAGACACTCATCTATCATTCAAGGTCGATCATGGATATTTTTGTAATTTTACCGAATATTAATGCATATCTTGCGGAAATGTTAACTGCGTTGGAACATCTGAAGATGGCTTGATATAAAGCCGAAACATGTAATGAAGCTTACTAACGTTCAATCAAATTTTTATTTTATTTAATTCTGTGACATATATATATTTTTAACGTTTTATTTGACTCTTATATGTCCTTTACAACATTATTTGAAATTTTATAATATTTAAGAGTCCTATGAATCTCTTTATTGTTATAAATCATAGACATTATATAATAACTCCGCAAGAAAAGAATGATTAATCTGGAAACATTAAAAATTATCGGTTTTTCTAGAAGATAAAATATTTCCTGGTAATATATTACGTTAGTTATTCAGATTAGACTTTCCTTGCTTCGCTTTTTTTAAGTGTATTTTACATATTCTCATCCTTCAGTCTGCCGACTCGAAAGCAAGCTTGAAGACCGATTGCGACGTCGCACATCATGTCCGCCAGTTTTTTCTGTACAAGCTGATTCGCCGCCAGCGGTCTTTTAAAATGTTTCCTCTCCAAAGTGTAAGATCTAGCAATGTTCAGGCAAGCTTCTGCCGCGCCTAACGCACCCCAGGCGATGCCGTATCGCGCATT